TCATTAGCCGGTTGTGAGAATATTAGATCCTTGGATTCGTTCTGAGACCCTGTTGACAATGGATGAGGGCTTGATGTGCCTAGTTTAGCGGTGTTCTTTGCTTTGAACAGTAAAGATTTAAAGAGGTGCAGACAAAAAAGGCCAGAAAAGGTAGGTTGGTCCGGAATGAGGCCTTCGTCATCTGACATTCCTCGTTCTAGTGGGTCAGCCTCTGACAACCCCAAGTCCATCTGATGGATCGACCCTACCTCCATGGGAACATCCTGGTCATCTAATTCCACCTCCTCCCGAAGACCCTGGACTAGTATGTCAGGAATCCTGAGGAATTTGATGATGTCCCATATGCGAAATGATCGAGCAGACAGGGATCCCGCTTCCGAAGTAGCTGAAAAGTGACTGGTCTGGATGGATTGCTGTACTCCAGCCGCAATGCCCTTTTGTATGGCGATCTCCATCCATTGCCTCATTTTGATGGGGATAGTCTCAGGTAATCCCTCCTCCTGTCTTAAACCGGCAGCCGTAGTGGTGAAGGTTGCCTCTGGGATCCATTGAGCAATGCTCATTGGAGGAGATATGCATATGGGAGACTGTCCAGAAATAGCCTGTTTCGGCTGGGTGGATAAGTCCAAGGGCCCCCAACAATGTACTTGGGCCCTGACCTGATTGTTGTGTCATAGCCATCTTGTCCGCCTCCCTGGCCCGTTTCTGCAACTGCCTTTCCAAGGCTTGGTGCCGTCTATGGGCATCCTTATCCGTCACCTTAGAGGCCTTTTGGGGGCCCACTAACTTATCTTGGGACTTATTTGTCTTGGAGCGGAAGACGTTGTCACCTACCATTGTAGAGGACTGATTCTCGTGCCTCTAACTTTAATTTTTTAAAAAAATTATTATTGTTATTGTTATTGTTATTATTGTTGTTATTGTTATTATTATTATTATTATTGTTATTATTATTATTATTATTATTTGTACTTAGGGGTGATGCCTACTTTTGTGGTTGAAAGTAGAATGCTTCTCCAGGAGTGTAAGTCTATACACACACACACACACACACACACATATACATATACGTGCTTATATCTACATGTAAAACTGTGTATATGGGAAACAGTATCTAAGGGTCCCCAACAAGGGAAACCCCCAAGCGCTCCAAGCAAGAAATATTCTGGATCCCTGGTCCCCAACAAGGGAAACCAGCTATACAGGGCCTGGATGGATCCTTTCCTGTCAAAAACGTCCCGCTGTTTGAAAAGGCACTTGTGGCTTCACTCCAATGTAATGATCCAAAAGCAATTGCAAAAAGAAAAAAATTCCTGTTTAAGGACTAGCCTGCTTATCCAATGCCAGCAAGATAAAAGAGAAACAATGCCAGCGAAGTGGAGTGGGAAGGTACCTGCCCCGGTCCCCAAGAAGGGAAACCAGCAGAGAATGGCGCCTGTGATATTTAGGCGCAAACTTGAAGCCAGCCATTGAAAATGGCAGGACGGCAGAATCTCCTATGTTAATTGCCTGAGCAGTTTAATGAGCCGCTGCTGCTGACTCTCTAAATTGTCAGATAAATGATCCTGTCAGTCAAAACAGCAAGGAGAAGTGAGCCACGGCTGCGAGTGCTCTGCCAAAATCACAGAGATAAGACATTCGGGAGATTAGATAAGCTAATTGCCTGAAGCAGCTGTCTCAGGGTGCCTGCGGAGGGGCAGGCTCCGCCAGCCACAAAGAACTGCTCTCAAACTGATCGGGGGGATGACCTAATAGAGCCACAAGCCTTGAAATCGCCAAATTAATTGGGGGAAAATTTCCAAGCCGAATTAACCCAAGAGCAAACTTGAATTTAAACTAGCTGAATCAGAAAACCGTTCCGGTCAGGGAGTGCACAACCTCTTACCACGAAGGCTGAGCTAAAACTGGGGGAGGCTGAGGAGGTGTCCCGTGGAGGAGGAGGAACATCCCAGAGTTTTAAGCCCAGCCTTTCCAGAAGAGACTGAAGCACCTCCCACTTCTGGATGCTCTGAACAGCTCACGGGAGAATGAAAGGTTTACGCCTGCTTTCAGGATTTCACAAGATTAGGTGTGCTCAGCTTGATTCAAGGTCACCATCAAACTTGGTGCATTCCATTAAAGGTGCCTTCTGTAATTGGCTTTTAAAGTTCCCCAAATCAAGGAAAGCTCAGATTTTTAGTTCTATTTTAGAAAAGAGTAGGACTTTGAAAAGAGCAAAAGTAATTGCCTATAATTATATTCGGTACTGGATGGGGAAGGAAAAAGGAAGGAAATATATGTAAACCTAATAGCTTATTACCTTAAAAATGGTAAAGTAGCAGTGAATGGGATGTTAATGTGATCGTTCTTTATCTTAAGTCAAATAGTTTTTAAATGTATATTATACATGATCAATTTCAGGAGATGGCAGTAAGCTGCAAAATCAAATGATTATTTTTTTCCCCTCCAACTCCAATACAAAGATCATATATGAATTCTTGTTTGCAGTTTAATACAAATACATGGGTTGTACAACCCAGCAGGCTTTAAAGTAACTTCCCTATCACTAATGAACTGTCTCTATTTTAAATACTGACACTTTCTATTCAGGGTACATTCCTGAGAATTCTCTAAAACTCTAGGTGATTACAAATAGCTTTGGCTGACAAAGCTTTGATCTTAGCATTTTTCCAGGTTCTTCAGGCCACTGAATCAGCAATTATTTTGCATTATTAATCAAAAGGTTTGTTGAGAAATTCCAACTTTATATAACAATACTTTTTTTTTAACCAAGCATTGCAAAGTCATTGTGAAAAAAACAAAGAAATAACTTTCAGTTACAGTGTATCCATATTAAGTTTCTATCCTTTTTCATATCCATTTCAATCCTATAATTGCACTGAACTTCTAAAGGCAAAAAGCCTTAAAGAAACTAAACTAAATACAAATAGTCCTCAATTATGATAATTTGTTCAGCAATCATTTAAAAAAAATGAAGAAAGGGAGATCATTTGGCACTAAATGGATAGAAAGTCTGTTGCCTCACAGAGTCACTTGATTGAGTTGGACAGCGATAGAAATTTAATTATCTTTACCAAGCAGTAAAAATATTCTGAGTACTGTAAGTGGTAAAAGAGAGAAGCTACAAGAGTCTTTGTGTAAAGAATCAAGATCTGTATGGGTAATGAAGAGCTGAGGTTTCACCTGTGAGGGAGCCACTTAGTCCAGACGTTTTTACATTTTCTCAATTCACAATGCCTGTAGCATCTCAGAAAAATTTTCCACGGCATCTCACAGTATCCAAGAAGCAAGTTCACAGAGACACTGTGGGATATTTTAAATTTTTGAAAGAAGCACTTTTTTGAGAGAGAGAAGCAATAGTAAGCTAGTAGTTTGTGCTCTGTTTAGAAGATGTTGGGTACTGCTGTGTTTCCATTAAATATATGAAATATTCCACAGTCTGAGTTCATTTTATCACCATGGCACACAGTTTGGGGACCATGGATGTAAAGCAGGGCTGTCAAACTCGTGGCCCACAGGCCAGATGTGTCACTTGCTGGCCACACCCATGGTCTCCCTTTATCAAAGGAGAAAAAAAGATGTCAGTTTGACACCCCTGATCTAAAGGATTTGGCAAGAGATGAATTGAGGTTTGGAATGCCAAGAGGAGGGGAAGTGAAGAGAAGGAAATGAAAGGTGTAGTCCATAAGAAGGGAAGAGAGTGAGAGAACCGCTAGATAAAACTGCATGTCAAAGTATTTACAGTGAGCATATTGGCCTAATAAGTAGGGAAAGCTAGATTGTTTAAGGATGTTTTAGGTATCAGAAATGTTAAATGCATCTTTCAAAGGAATCGTTCAGACTATTGTATGAGAAGCCAATAGCTAACTAAGTTTCACTGGACAGTGTTATATATGCCCCGTGGAAAACTCGGGAAAACTGTAATGTGTGCACAGCCATTTGGAGATTAGTTGCCAGCTAATGACAAGTGAAAGGAAGAAAGGGAGTAAACATACAAGGAAGAAAGAGGGAATATGTTACCCACCCTTAAGCATTCAGGTCTTTGTTTGGATTAAAGAAGCATGTACATTGGGGCAAGTGACTAACACTTTTCTTCCTTGTTCAATCTTGCAGAGTTTTATGTATTCATGTATTCACCCAACTTGATACCTGTTCCTTATCATAAATTAAAGATCTTATATATGAATTGCATAATGTCAGATAGTATCATTCAACCCATTAAGAAAATTATCAAAAGATTTGGAAGATTTGGAATGAAAGTTGAACTCTTTAAGGCTGTTATTAATTGCAAATATGCCAAATAAATGACTAAATTAGAATGAAGGATGAAAACAATTAAAGATTAGGAAAGTAATCAAGACCTGTACATTTTGTTTAATAGAAGTATTTTAAACATGAAAAAGCCAGATGAATTGTCAGCTGTATAAGGAACAAGATATATTACTTTTATTTGGTATGTAATAAGACATATTTCCAAAATAATAAAGGAGGTGATTGAATAGTCTGTTAAACGTTACTCAAGACTATATAGTAACATGATCTGGAGAAATCTAGAATGTATTTGAACACAACCTACTTATGAAATTTATTGGCTTCTCTCTCTCAGCCTAACCAACCTCACAGGGTTGTTTTGTGGGAAAATAGGAGGAGGAAAATGTATTACATATGGTTGCTGCCTTGAGTAATAAAAGTGGGATAAAAATCTTAAATATTAATATAGTCCATTGGTGATCGTCTGTAATAAGCAGCATATTACTATGGGATATAGAGGAAAAATTTGATCCAGACTTGTCCTCTCGTCTCATTATTACATTTTCATTTTTATAATGATGAAAACTCAAATAAATTTGCTTAGTGGAGAACACATTGTATATAATACAAGATTTATGTCAGTAAAATATGAAATAATCTCTTCACGATGACCTGAACTACCAAATTGCTTTCACTATCTTTAAAACATTTTTAATATTTTAAAGCATTATACAAAATTGCAATTATACCTAAACGGAAGATAGGGTGGATTAGACCCAGATAAGAGTATCCGATAAGCTTCTTCTGGTGTTTTCTTCAAGTAAACTACCTACAAAAATAAAAACAAACAATTAGAAAATGCATACTTACAATTGTATAACTCATAATATCAACATAAAGTCTGAATAGAACTCAATGAGACTATGATTTCATTTTTTTAATTCCTAGAATTAATGCTTCAGAATCAATGTATGTTGATGCTTCAGAAAATTGTTTTTATTCCAAGCTTAAAATGTGACTCCATACACAACCAGGAAGTTTACCAGACAGCTAACAGCCATGCTAATTCTTTCTCTCATATTTTTATTGCTTTCATAAGAAAACAAAACAAAAACATTTTTCTGCATCTAGATGTGTTCTCCATTCTGAATGCAGATAATTGTTTATTTTCTCAAGGGCAAAATAGGAAGCACTGATAAAAAAAAAATGATTATGCATTTAAACAAATAAATCCATAGATATATAGATATATATAGAGAGAAAGATTGAAAAAAGACCTGAAAGCATGAATAGAAGAGATGACTCCACCAGATTGTCAATTATCTGGAAGCCTGCACTCACAAACAAAAAAACCTCCACACCACAAGCCAAGCAAACACCTGGGCACAAACAGACCCCTCTCCCCGATACCTCCAACTCAAACACAACCCAACAAGGCACCCAGATGAAACCTAGCTTCCTAATAAATGATAGCCATCCATTTACTCAAAAGCCTCCAATATAGGAAACACAATGTTGCCAGCCAATCAAAACAAAAAAAATGCTACAAAACAGACAGAAGATATTAGAAACACCAATCAAGCAGAACACAGCAAACTCCAAAACCAATAAACACAGACCAAGACTCCCAACCAATCAGGATGATGAAAAAACCATTCTAACATAGCAGTAGGCTAGCACCAAATTTAAAACAGAAACGGCTGTGAAAGCCTGACTCACAGACGAACACAATACACAAGCCTGATGATGGCAGATGAGATTCTGATGAAATGTCACTGCAACTTTAAAAGCAATTATATATAATATATATAATATCTATATATCTATATCTATATCTATCTATCTATCTATCTATCTATCTATCTATCTATCTATCTAT